CTTGTGTTCACCTAAAGATTAAATTAAAATTGCTGATAATACCTCGAAAGAAAAAGTTTCGGTGCTTTTATTAAATGTATTATGCAGAATTTTATATCGACAATTCTTGAAAGGGGTGCGACCCAAAAAAACAACTTAAGCTACTTAAATCAAGAAGAAAAATCTAAGACCCCTCGTGAAAACCGTAGTCCTATATTCGAAATAGTTTCCGAGATAATCCCTCATGAAGATAAATTATGCGGGAACTGTGACGTCACACCGGCTAAACGCCGAAATAGCAGCCTTTTGTTCGTGCAGTCGTCAGTGAACCGTGCCCTATACTTTAAGTGGTTGCGGTTGCAATTCGGTCTAAATGAGATCGTTGACTTTTGTTTTGGAAAATTTCACACGTATTTCAAATGTGCCTCCGAAGCCGGAGTGACGTCACAGCCTAGACGTTCGTCACTTTAAACCGCCCTAACTCGAAAACGGTTCATTGTAGCAAGGTGCGGTTTGAATACTTATTCAGATTTTTTTGCACTAAAACTTTCATTTTTGGTTCATTAATGATAAAAAACTTGATGCGCACTGAGTGCTGCTGCAGTGATACATAATGGAAAACGCAGAAATACTTTTCTTTCAGACATGGACACAGATTCTACTATTTCTGTGTAACAGGAAAGAGTGGATATAATTTGTTGCGAGCTTCTCGGATAGATGTAAAGTGGACAGTGCCAGTGGAGTTGCCACTTCAAGAAAAATTACCCTCTCCAGGGAATATTCGTTGGCGAAAAGCAAATGGCAATCTTTTTTAAAAAAAAAAAAATTTTCTCTTATTTAGGCCCAGTTGTACCAAATTGGTTCAGTTGAACTCTACTGGTACTTGATTTATAAATTGGGGCCGTTAACATAGGTGCTGACATATTAAATAACTGCATAATTGGACCATATTTGTTGCCCTCACGCTTAAACGCTCATGTTTATATTCGATTCTTGCAACACGTCCTAACAGAGCTGCTAGAAGAAGTACCACTTGACGTACGTCGGGATATGTGGTACCAACACGATGGTGCACCAGCCCATCTTGGACTAGATTGCCGGGCGTATCTTGACTGGATCGATGGATTGGGCGAGGAGGCCTTGTACCTACACTGGCCCGCTCGATCGTCAGATATGACTCCACTAGATTTTTACTTGTGCGTGGTCAAGTTAAGGCGTCTCGACATATGGTTCATTCAGTCGGCGTCAGACTTAAAAAGTTCATATCTCCGTCTTCTTAGGGGTGCATCTGCGACCCCATGTACCCTACCAACCCTAAACGTGTGTTGGTGTTCGTATATTTCAATAAGTGGATTTAGCAATTTACAATCCCCAACCAGAAAAAAGCAGTTTTAGTGTTCCTCAAGTTTTAGAAATATGTAGAAATATGAACACACCTAACAAAGTCTTCAAAACTATAAAACTTATTCAATTGAATGTGATTTTGATTAGGTATAAGTTTTTCAAGAGAGACACCACAGTGACATGAAACTTCAACCAAAAACAAAACCTGGGGAATGGGATGACATTTTTTTTTTCAATAATAGTTGTAACAAATAGGTCTGTTCTCACAGAAATCACAAACTAGTCAAGCAGTTTCCTGACTAATTTTAACCATTAAAATTCACCCTGACTGATTTGTGATATCTGTGAGAACAGACCTTATCACTAAACTAAACATGGTGCAAATATGAATCTGTTTAAACGAGCAAATTCCGAGATATTTCAAAAAAAAATATGCTTTCAACTCTCATTTGCACCCCTTGTCCGGAGTTGCTGGAATGACATATGTTTTTTAAATTGTTGCAACGCCTATACCAACTTTAGTTCAAATGTGAATCTGTTGAAATAAGTAGATTTTCAGATACCTAGCTATTTCAAAAATGTGCTATCAACTCTTATTTCCTCTCTTTGTCCCAGGTTGCTGGGGATAACTTTTTTTTGAAATTCCAGCAAGACCCAAGCTAACTGTGACTCAAATATGAATCTTTTGAAATATTTCAAAAAATATGCTAGGAACTTTTATTTGCACCACTTTTCCAGGGTTGCTGGGGATGACATATTTTTGAAATTGTTGCAATACCTAAACCAACCTCAGTTCAAATATGAATCTGTTGAACTGAGCAGATTTTGAAATATTTCAAAAAATATGCCAGCAACTCCTATTTGCATCACTTGTCCTGGGTTACTGGGAACAACATACTATTAATAAAAAATTAGTATGGGTCTAGGGAAAATCTATGAGCCCATTTTTGCACGTATGAAAATAAGAACTACTATTATTTTTAAATTTTTGCAAGACCTTAGCTAATCCTTGTTAAAATAGTAATCTGTTGAAACGACCACATTTTGAGATATTTCAAAAAATATGCTTTCAACTCTTATTTGCATTTCTAGTATAGTCAAGGCACTATAGTATTTGGATTTGAATTTTTCCCCCTTTTTCTGAAGTACTTACCTATAATCTAGAGATAAACATTATTCTATGGATAAACTAAGTAGTATATTATTAGGAAAGACAAACTTGAATAAAAATAAAAATCATATTGAATAAACGTTTTATTTATTTTAAAATCCTTTAAAGCTATAAGATAAACACATTATGTATGTACTATAATCAATAGGTACTTAGACCCTAAACAACGTTAATACTCCATATTCTCAACAAATAATTAATTTAATATACATAACTTTATCTAATCTACAAAACTATGTACAATTTTTAACTTTTAAAGGAATCATAAGTTATGTAATGCAAAACAAAATTAGATAAACATAAAATAATTAAATTTCAAAATTTCATGTGAAACTGAAAAATATATAAGTACATATTATTTATTGTTATACTTTATTTCTGTTGTAAAAATGTGTATCATACATTTTTTTATAACTTTATAATTTGAACCAATTTTGTCTTGCTTTAAATAATTTTTTAAATGCATATTATAAAATACTTGGTAGGTAATAAATAGATTTTCCTTTCTAGAATATAAAATGTCATTAAATAGTTCTTTATTTCTGTTTTTCACTTTTTAGTAGAAAAATGTACAATAATACAATCTTGGCCACAGCACAACTCTTATAAATATAGACCTATTGTTTATTAATTTAATTTTGTACTATTATATTAAATTGAGAAAAGGTAATCCAGTACCTAATGACTTTATCCTCAAATGATATAGATAAGATCTAGTGAAAGTATGGCAAATATCATTAAGTCATAAAACATGTGTGGAGTTTCCGTCTATGAAAAACAGTCCAAATGAGAAAAAATCCAATTATGCGTAAATTGCAAAAAAAACTTTGATAGAAATAACAATATCGTTAAACAATACTAAACCTAAATTGCGTGATATACATGTAAGGCCATTTTGGACCTTTAAAATTTCAAGTCGGAAGCTAACAGAGATAACTTTCTATATCATGCGCCACGCTGTACAATTTTTTTTTAAAATTATTTACTACATATTTAACTTAGTAGAGGTGTAGAATAATTTTAATGAAATTTATTTAAATAACTATAGGTAGGAAGGAAGATCTTGATTTCCTGATTTCAAAAGTATATAAGTAATTTGCATTACAATAAACGGGGTCCATTGCAAATAATTTTTTATTTTTTTTTGGCCTTGAGCATAGCTCATTTAGCCACGAAAATAATTCTACTAAAAATTAATAAATTATAGAAACGTCTTACAAGGAACATTGGAAAACTACCGCATGGGCGGAGCATTAAAAAACAGAAATATTTTGAAAAGTAAGCACTAGTTTAGAGCCTGAATTTCCAGTTGTTATTCTTTTTCTTTTTTCTCTAAAACAAAGTCCTGAAGAAGAGGAACTACAGGATATATTAAGGACTTTGCTTGGAAAAGAAAACCGTTCGATTCGGCTATTTGCGCGAGGGAGAAAAGCGCGATACGAAAAGCGCGAGGGACAAAACCGCGACGAAATAAAAACGCGACTGGAGAAAAGCGAGAGGAACAAAAACGCGACTGGATAAAAGCGCGAGGGACAAAAACGCAAGGTACAAGAGCGCGACAGAACAAGAACGCGACTGAACAGAAGCGCGAGAGACAAAAACTCGAGGGACAAAAGCGCGACGGAACAAAAACGCGACTGGAATGAAAAGCAATGGACAAAAACGCGACTGGATAAAAGCGCGTGGGACAAAAGCGCGAGGAATAAAAACGCGACTGGAATAAAGCAAGATTGGATGAGAACGCTCAACTATCTACGAGGAATATAGAACGCTTTCCAAAATACAAGACATTAAGACATTCTCAGTGGCTCCGGTTCAAAAGAGCGATATTTGAAATAGTGACATTAAAAAGGCGACATATTTTTAATGCGATACATCAAAATAGCGACTTATTAAAATAGCGACATTCAAAACAGCGACATGTGAAAAAAGTAGGGACATATCAAAACAGCGACATCAACAACGGCGACCTCTAAGCAAAACAGGGGCACATCAAATTGTATCAATTATAATAAAAAAAATGCAGACTACTCAAACTAACCCAAACTAACCCGTTCCCCTAGTGCGATCTTGTCCTCGTAAGTTAGCATTTTATTTGAAAAACAAGGTTGACAGTTTTTTTAAAATAAAATGCTAACTTACGAGAACTAGATCGCGATAGGCGGACGGGTTAGTTTGGGTTAGTTTGAGTAAGTGTGCAATAAAATGCTAACTTACGAGGACTAGATCGCACTAGGCGGACGGGTTAGTTTGAGTAAGTTTGCAATAAAATGCTAACTTACGAGGACTAGATCGCACTAGGCGGACGGGTTAATTTGGATTAGATTGAGTAAGTATGCAATAAAATGCTAACTTACGAGGACTAGATCGCACTAGGCGGACGGGTTAGTTTGGGTTAGATTGAGTAAGTCTGCAATAAAATGCTAACTTACGAGGACTAAATGGCACTAGGCGGACGGGTTAGTTTGGGTTAGATTGAGTAAGTCTGCAATAAAATGCTAACGTACGAGGACTAGATGGCACTAGGCGGACGGGTTAGTTTGAGTAAGTTTGCATTAAAATGATAACTTACGAGGACTAGATCGCACTAGGCGGACGGGTTAGTTTGGGTTAGATTAAGTAAGTCTGCGTTTTCTTGATTATTATTGATTCAATTTGTTCATCACCTATTCTATAGTTCTAAGTAGGACAGCATGATAAACTTTATTAACAAAAGAAACAAAATAAATTAGTTAAAAATACAAATTATGGAATGCTAAGTTTAAATGGTTAAGTTTAAAGCTACTGCTTTAAGGTGATTTTGTACGTTGGAGAAAGGGTATTCTTGGACTAAGTTTAACAATCGAGAATTAACTTGCTCATATTTTGAACTCCTCGCTGGGGGCTTTCTATACCCGGTCCTTTATTTGTTGACAGCCATTTCAACTTCAGCAATGCTTTTGTCCCTCGCGTTTTTGTTCCGTCGTGCTTTTGTCCCTTGCGCTTTTGTTTCTCGCGCTTTTATCCAGTCGCGTTTTTGTTCCGTCGCGCTTTTGCTCTTCGTGTTTTTGTTCCGTCGCGCTTCTGTCCCTCGCGCTTTTGTTCCTCGCGTTTTTATCCAGTCGCGTTTTTCTCCATCGCGCTTTATTCCAGTCGCGTTTTTGTTTCGTCGCGGTTCTATCCCTCACGTTTTTGTTCCGTCGCGCTTTTGTCCCTTGCGCTTTTGTTCCTCGCATTTTTATCCAGTCGCGTTTGTGTCCATCGCGCTTTTGTCCTGTCGCGTTTTTGTTCCGTCGCGCTTTTGTCCCTTGCGCTTTTCGTATCGCGCTTTTCTCCCTCGCGCAAACGGTTGTCGCGCAAATAACACAGAGCCTTCGATTCACCGATCATATTGACGTTAAAAAGGCAGATTTGTGGGCTAGAAGACCGGATTATAAACGCTGGGAAAGGTATTTACTTGTGAGAAACGTTAGCACACCTTATTTCAACGCTATTTATTTTATAGCAAATCACCAGCAGAAAGACTAGGAATACAGGATGCTATGAGGGAATTCAGATTGAATGAGATGAAGATACACCCAAAGAACAAGGAGTGAAAATCTACTTGGAATTAAGAACTAAACAAATACCAAAGCTAAAAACTATTATACCTAAACTTAAACTATTACTTAATTATTGTTGATTAGGATATACCTACCCTGTAAAATTTTGTTTTCTCACTGTTATTATCACAAAAACACAGCTAAGTTAAAGTTTTGAATCACTGTTATATGAATGCCCAGTCACTTTTTGAGGTTTATGTAGAGTTTTAACTGTTTTGCAAATAATCACATGAAACTCGGCGCCTGTAATCTTATTATCATTAGTATATAACACATTAATTAGTCCGTACTTCATCGTCAGGGCTTTATGAATATGGTATTGTTCCGGAAAATCTCTTGGGAGTTCTTCGTGTAATTGTCTGAAAATAAATATATCGATGAAAACTATATTTCTAACTATAGCAATTATTTAAATAATGGTGTGCTTTTTGAGTGAAGAATTTATTGCCTAATGCATTATGTTGGTAGCACAAGGATGATGGAAGATAATCGAGTGATTTTTAAAATATAAAATAAAGCATATAAAACTGCTCAACTTTCGTGCATTATAGACTTAAGCTGTGTGGTTATGCATTTTAAATACACATTTTTATTTTAATAATAATGTTTCGTAATAATTTCAGAACAGATTTCTCTAATTTGGGAAGAGGTGTAAAACACTCCAAAAGGACATCGCACACATCTTTTGGGTTTTCGGGGACCGGTCGATTTTTTTTAAAAAATTTGGTATGTTGTAGTACTAGCAAAAATAAGCATTTTTCATCATTGCATCAAATCTCTAAGTATACAGAGTGACCCAGTAAAGTGGGGTCGGAAATCATAAAGCAAGCCTATTAATTATCAATGTTAGCGCAACCTGCAAGCTACATATCGGGATTTTTGTTTTCGATTTCGCAAATAAATAGTCTAGATAAGCCTGATATACTATACATGGTGGCTAAGCTTGTGTATTCTTTTAGAAATCCTGCCCTATTCTTATGCCCGGATTATATCTGTGTATTTTTCCGTGTATTTATTCATGTAGTTCAGGGTGACAACCGAAAAACTTCAAACGCAACATAAATCAGCATTATGAAAAACAAAATAATCTTGGCACCCTGAACTACATGAACAAATACACGGAAAAATACACATATGTAATAAGAGATAGTTTTACCAAAAAGGTCGCACTGGATTTCATATGCTCGTAACTTCTTTAATAAGTAGTGCTACAAGTTATAGTGCGAAAATGGTAAAATACAACCTAAATACACTATAATATTTTCACTTCAACAATCGTGATTACTTAGTGCCTATTTGCACTTGTCTTGAAGTCACCTAAGGAACGTATTTGATAAGTACCTACCTACTTCACATAGTTTCCATGTCGAGCGTAGGCCAAGTACCAAACAGCTCTAGGAATGCAGGAGCACATGCCCAAGGTATAGCACCAAATTATTAATTATTAAACAGGGTGTCCCAGCCGAGAGTGACCTATTTCACATGCTTATAACTTTTAAACCAGGTGTACTGCGGTTTGCGCCATCCGACTTCTATTGGCCTAAAGTTTTTTTTTAGTAGGTTGCAAATTCTTTCGACACTTATTCCGAGACAGGAAAAAAAAACGTTTTCCAACACCTAAATTATCCACTATTTTTAATGGAACATCCTGTGACTGTGACAACTGATGAATTGTGATTAGGTAATAGCTCTCAACATTACCCTTTTGGGTCTTGTTTTCAATTTCAAACTGGGTTTAATGTTCGTAAGAATCCACGATCGAATAAAAAGTTATACTTTTATCACTTTCCGCCATCTCGAATTTCATCCCATTTGTAATTCCTTAGATTTCATGACGTCCCTGTGATATAGGCTTTATTTTAGGACCACATTTTTTTTAAATCGGACAAAAATTAAAAAAGTCACGGGCAAATAAAATCCAGCGCGACCTTTTTGGTAACACTATTTGTAAGAAATAGTGTGGGATTTCTAAAAGAATACGCAAGCTTAGCCACCCTGTATATATAGTATATTAGGCTTATCTACAGTATTTATTTGCGAGATCGAAAACAAAAATCCCGATATGTAACTTGCAGCATTGATAATTAGAAGGTTTGTTTTATGATTTTTGGACCCACTTTACTGGGTCACCCTGTATAGTTAGAGATTTGGTGCAATGATGCAAAATACTTATTTATGCAAGTACTACAAAACCTCTAAGATGTATGCGATTTCCTTTCAATCCAATCCTTCAAACAATTTCCTCAAAAAATAAATAAAACGTCCCCCAATATAATGTTTTGGTTGATTTTTTTCCAAAATGACATCGACACACATTTTGACTCACAACTTTGTATATTTAAATCCGTTCCTATAATGTTCATTAGGCCTTATTTAAAGCCAATTTAACCCTTCATCAATCTATCGTTATATTAGATGCAGCTTCAATAGTTTCGCAGAGTAATAAGTAGTCTTTTATCTATTTGTATATTTATTATTATTATAATATTCAATTGAATGAAGGAAACTAAATTCTACTTACGCCCATTGCAGAAATTACTTCGATTTTGACTTTGATTTTGATTTTCTGGGAGTCCTCTTGGGGAGTCTGAAAATAATGAAATATGTTTAGTACTTGTTAATTTTATACCTTATTGATAGATAGGTAGGTACCTACCTACCCTACAAAAAAAAAGTTTGGACAAAATTACGGATATTGATTTGAAAAACTTATTTGAATTATCTTATTTACTTTTTTGGCAGACACAAAAAATTTGGATTAGGTTCCATTCCATTCAGTTATTATATTCAATTAATAAATGTGGTGCTAAGTAATAATCAATGATTATTGAATAGAAATTTAAAAAAGGTTTTGGAAAAAATTGCAAGCGTAATACATTATCTATGCTCTGTTTTCTTTTCGTTAGGAGCACAGAACCTCAGTGTAAATTTAATCTCACACAAAACAAGTAGAGTAGGTATAGGAATCGTAAAGATTGTGCCAATGAATTAAACGAATATAATATATAAACATAATTATTATTATATTTCTTGATTTATCGCAAAATAGCTTTGGTACACATTCCATGTCATACCATTCGATTTCCTGAGCATTTTCTGTACCAGTTTGATCTGTCGGGGGGATGGTTGTGAACAAAATTGAACTGGTATCCGCTGCTTCCCTTATGCGATGAGTTGACCTATTTCACACTAGAAAATAGGGCTGCCAAGTTTTCCAAGGAGCAGACCAGAAATAAGTAGGTACGGAAAAGAAAATGTTTGGAGAAAAATGTCTCTACAATTTAATGAAAATGAAATGGCTAAATTTCTGATTCCTTTCAGTTGAGGAGCGCGTTTATAGAAAACTTTGAAATAGTTAGGGTTTCAATATATGGTACAAGAAACGTCAATTTTGTTACAGCCATCATGGTATATAGAAAAATTAAATGGGGCTATTTATATATTGTTTCTCACCGCACCGCTATGATATGTTTTACACTCATCGATGATGGTTAATACTTACAGTAATAAACGACGACTCTCTGGATGTATATCCATTTCATTTAATCTATATTCCCTCATCGCATCCTGTATTGTTTGTCTTTCTTCCAATGATCTGCTATAAAATAAATAGCGTTGAAATAAGTTGTACTAACGTTTCTCACAAGTAAATATTTACCTTTCCCAGCGTTTATAATCGGGTCTTCTATCCCATGTGTCTGCCTTTTTATAGTCATTCTCAACCGCGAAACGAACGGTTTTCTTTTCCAAGCGAAGTCTTCCGAACATATCCTGAAGTTCCTCTTCTTCAGGACTTTGTTCTAGAGAAAAAAAGAAAAGAATAACAACTGGAAATTCGGGCTCTAACTAGTGCTTACTTTTCAAAATACTTCTTTTTTCCCATGTTCCTTGTACGACGTTTCTATAAATTATTAATTTTTAGTGGATTTATTTGAGTGGTATATACCTAATTTTATCCTGTGGTGATCATTATAATTTGCAATGGATCCCCTTTATTGTAATACAAATTATATACTTTTGAAATCAGGAAATCAAGATCTTCCTTTTCTATCAGAAAATATACAGGGTAAGGGTATATTTTCATTCTTTTCATTCATTTCATTTCAAAACTTGCCACCCACGTTATCTACGTAAAGAGGCATATTTGTGGAAATCGCCGAAACACGTCAACAAATTTATTGGGGGGAAGGTTTTTTACGTGAGACTGGACTTCCTTCCTTCAAACCCCTAACCCTCAGGGCTACCACCCCAAAATTATCAAATGAGACAAGGGGTTGAGGGATAGATCATTTTAAAGGGCTATTTAATCTGTAAATTTTGACGTCCTATTTTTTGAATTTGACCTCAGTATTGTAGAATAACACTCATTTCAATGTTTGAAAATGCCTATTTATCCTTAAACATACCTGTTTTTTTACCTACCTTTTTATTACAGCAGCAGGTGAATAAGCAGGTGTGTTTAAGGATAAATAGGCATTTTTAAACATTGAAATGGGTTTTATTCTTCAACAGTGAGGTCAAATTTAAAAAATAGGACAACAAAATGTACAGATAGAACAGCCTTTTAAAATGATTTATCACTCGTCCCCCTGTCTCATTTGAAAATTTTGGGGTGGTAGCCCTTCTTGTGCTTAGGGGGTTGAAGGGGCGAAGTCCAGTTTCACATAAAAAACATTCCCTCTCAATAAATTTGTTGACGTGTTTCGACGATTTTCAGAAATCTGTCTTTTTACGCTGATAACGTAGGTGACAAGGTTTGAAATGAAAGCCCTGTATGTAAAATAGCAGACAAAAATGAACAAATGCAGTAAAGTAATTTAATTTGATTACTAATTGCAATTATTACCATATTCTAATCCTAAAGGCCTTCTGCATCAATGAAAAAGAGAAATAAAACATTATTATTGTAATTTTTTCATACCTATATAACAGAAATTTTAAAATATTGAAACAATTACTCCTTAGGAGGTGTAAACGTTTTGTTTGTTTAGAATTAATATCAATATTTGAATGGTGGAATGCAAACAATTTTTGATTTAGTTCCATTATGCTGTAGAAGAAACTATAGTTTACTGAGAAATATAGTTATTGAATAGAGTGCGCAGCGTCAAAAATTATGTTACACATTGTCATGTTTGCAAAAATGAATTTTGGCGATTTCCTTCATTCTCACATTTAATGTTGAATAGAAACATGTTGAGAGGCTGTAGGTAGGGCATTTCGCTTCGATAAATTGAAAAGCCATTCAGATTAAAGTCAGTAATATCCAAAGTTGCATTATTCTTCAGATTTCCTGCTAGTGAATGTTTCCCAACAATAAACTCTATCTCTGTGTCCGATTTGAACTGCAAAACATGAAAATTTTACATCGGGATTATAGCAAGGACGTGCATTATCATGTCAAATACATCATTTGTGAGCTTCCCAGGAATTTCGTTCTTGGATGTCGACACGTTAGAATAATTTTAAAGTAAGTATCGCTCAGCGTGAACAGCACAGCCTGGCAATCAAAAAGTATCTTCTGAGATCGTGCATGTTTCCATTGCATTATCTGACGCTTGGATTCTGGTTCATATAAATCGTATACATAACTAACACCAAGACTCATCATTGGCAACAATTTGGTGTGGAAAGGCCTCAACTACCTTGTAGTAAATAGCAGTAGGTAAGTCAATGAAAAAGCTACTTTCCAAATTTATCATTCGACAAAGGCCCAGTTTATTAATCTTCAGATAAACTTACTGATAACTGTCTACCAAGATCAATTCACCAATCTATAATACCATTGGTCGACGGCTAACTGACCGGCCGATAGGATTTTATAGATTGCATTTTCATCCGTCGCATTGCATTACCTGATAGTATATCAGAAGGTGAATAAACCGGGCCTAATTGGAAAACCAAAATTATAAAATATTCGGATAACTATACTTATTTGGTGTGTGCCAAAAAAAAAACTTGCTAATCAAAACTCACTTAGAGGTATGGTCCCTTTTCAATGCTGATTTCAAAGGCATCGCGGGAAGCTCGTCAATCCTTTTCTTATAGCAGTTCTCGTCATCTTAAAATAAATAAATAAATAAATAAATATCGCCTTTATTTAATATTAAGAACAGAAAAAAATCGTTAAGATACATTCCCATACAAAGAAGTATAAGTAAAATATAAAGTAACATAATAGGGGATGCAAACTCTAGCATGGCGAAGTTCAGCTTGAAAGCTACTCAAACTCAACCATGTCCAGTGATATGCATACACCCTACATATAAATGAAATGTACCATCATAATATCCCCTAAATAACTAAACAGTATATTGAAAAAAAAAAGCGCAAATATGAGTAAATATTTAAATTTAAATATTTGAAACTATACATTACGTTGGAATTTTAACGAATAATATAATATAGTTTTAAGATAGTTTCGAGACACCAGCGCACCACCCTCTGAGGTCATCAGCAACTAAATTAGGTGAGGGAATCAACCTGCTCATTAAAGGGGGTGTGCGCCAAAAAAACAACTTCATCTCAAAAAAAAGAGAAAAAAAATCTAAAAATAACAGTGAAATCCGCACCCCTCTATGACAAATAATACCGCAGATATGGCTCTATGAAGGTACCGCATCTCACCCTATGACGTCACGAAAGCTCAAGCGACGCACGAGAAAGTGGAGTTAATTAAATTTACATATGTTTTTCCTGTGTTACCTGCAATAATCTAAACGAAAACCACTCACGCGTGCCGGGAACATTCAAATTAACAATGCGGAGCGCGGCTGGACGAATTTCTCGTGACGTCACGAGAGCGTCGTCCACACTTTAGAGCGATATATGTCAGCGATGGTTTATCGTAGAATAACGAGGTTTGAACAGTTATTCTTAGATTTTTTTACACTAAAACTTTAATTTTTGGCGCACACCCCCTTTAAACAATGAACGGTATTCACGCTTGAAACTTGTGAAATTATGTTCCTTTAAGCCATGAGGAAGAGAATTCAGAATCTTCAGCTCAAAAAAACAAAAAAAAGCAAAAACATTTGTCAAAAGTTAAATTTTAAACTTTCAAATAAGTTAGAGAATTGAAAACTTGATTGAGAATAACAGAGCCAATAGACCTGAACCTCCTAGAAGCGATAAATAAGTAGCCCAACGTATATACCGACCGAAATCTGCAATCAAGACTTTCTTTCTTCGCCTTGGCCTAAAGCCAGGAGCTACTAAGGAAACTATCCAGGAGTTCTGAAAAAAAAAGATCTGCACCGTGTGTATAAATTAGAGAAAATAAAAACCAAGAGAGATGTACAATGTAAAGGGTGTTTTTTTTAGAGGTTTGTTTTTCGATCTGGCAACACTGTTCCTAGTGACAGTAAATTTGAAAGGTGACAGCTCATTTTCGCTCATTATATCTTGCCATTTCAACATGAATAGACTCACGGCAGAACAACGCTTGCAAATTGTGCAAATTTATTTCGAAAGTCGTGGTTCAGTTCGCGAAACTTACCGTGCGCTACGTCCATTTTACGGTCGACATAATCGTCCATCCGAGCAAGTTATTCGGATGACCATGAATCGTTTTCGCACCACGCATACTTTGATTGAAAATGTGAATGAAACAAAGACGTCGTACAGTGCGCACCGAAGAACGTATTGCTGCTGTGGAGCGTAGTGTTGAGGAGGACCCAAATGAGTCGATCCGACATCGTGCACAGCAATTGGAGCTGTGTCCATCCATTCTATGGGAGATTTTGCGGAAAGATCTTGGTTTACGAGCTTACAAGATACAGCTCGTCCAAGAGCTGAAACCGCGTAACCATCATATGCGTCGTACGTTCGGAGAATGGGCCGAAAATAAGATTGTTCTTGATCCTCATTTTTACCAAAAGATTCTGTTCAGCGATGAGGCTCATTTCTGGCTTAATGGATATGTAAACAAACAAAATTGTCGGATTTGGAGCGGAGAAAATCCAGAGGCCATCATTGAGACGCCGTTACATCCAGAAAAACTTACTGTTTGGTGTGCTTTATGGGCTGGTGGAATCATTGGCCCATATTTCTTTAAAGATGATGCCGGCCAGAACGCGACAGTCAATGGAGAACGGTATCGATCCATGATAACTGACTTTTTTGTGCCCCAGTTAAATGGCATCAACGTGAAGGAGCTTTGGTTCCAACAAGACGGCGCAACATGCCATACAGCGCGCGACACAATTAACTTATTGCAGGGAACATTCGATGACCGTATAATTTCGCGCAAGGGACCTGTGAATTGGCCTCCACGGTCGTGTGATCTCACACCTATGGATTATTTTCTGTGGGGATATGTGAAGTCGCTAGTCTACAGTAATAAACCAACAACGTTGGATCTGCTGGAAGCCAACATTCGCCGCGTTATTGCCGATTTACGTCCCCAGGTGCTCGACAAAGTGGTCCAAAATTGGACTTCCAGATTGCCCTTCGTTCGAGCCAGCCGCGGCGCTCATATGCCCCAAATCATCTTTAAACACTAATGGCATTAAATTAGCTTTCTAATAAAGTCAATATCATAGCCGTTAATATGATTTTTATGAGTTTCATTCCAGTTCAAAGTTCTATACCTCTAAAAAAAACACCCTTTACAATAAGTTCTTTCAAACTTACTGTACCTTAAAGCAATATAAATACATTTGCCATTTCCTCTGGCCGGCGAGTATAATTAATTATTAGCAATTTCCTGGATCTCCAGCGCAAACAAAGGATAGCAGAACCATCCAGAGAGGCCCTGAATGTCCCGACTATCCATATTTGTTCACTCAAGAAGATAGTGCTGTTAAATTTCTACATCTTTGATGTCTTTCTCTATTCTAGGAACTACAACAAAATAGGAAGTCTGAGGTGTCTCATATATATAGTATTAGTGTATATTGTTCTGGACAGTCCTAGTTTTATGTATGAGAACTTTTTTGAAAAAATAGAATCTTATCTAATTGATGATTCAAAAGCTGAACTGATGATAATAGGTGATTTTAATATTCCTACTTATATTAATCCTATATCTTCTTGTGCTTACTTAAATAATCTTAATTCATTTTTAGCATATGATAAATTGTCCCAGATGAACCAAATTAGAAATAATAATAATGTTATACTTGACCTAGCTATAACTTCATTTGATAACATATGTTTAAATAGGACAGATGACTATCTAATACCTATACACAATCTACATCCCTGCCTTTGTGTCTGTCTAAAAACTAAATGCCCTATCAATGTCTGTAAGGTTGTATCTACCACTAAATTTAACTTTAAAAAAGCCAATTTTCTGTTAATGTACCACCTTTTTAAAAATCAAAATTAGGATATCTTAAAAAACGGTACTAATGTAAATATATCTACACTATTCTGGGTAACATTTTTGAAAGATGTGTTCCTAAGTCCACCCAAATTGATAAGAAATATCATGTATGGTTTGATAGACATATTATTTTACTTATTAAAAGGAAGCATAAGTACTTTCTGAAATCAAAAAAATACAGATCAACCTACTGGAGGTCCAAATTTGTGGGCCTACACAACAGAATTAAAGACAAAATGAAATAAGCCTACTCTAAATATCTGCATGACGTAAAGATTAGCTCAAAATCAAACTCTAAATTCTTTGGATCATATGTGAAAGGCCTTAAGGATCATCAGGGCCGGTTCAATAGCTATTTTATGCCGAGGCAAAGTTCAATTCTGGCGCCCCCCTTCTCAAATTGTATTTTCAAAATGGTTGAAGATCAATATGATAAACAATGAATTTTAGGCAATCGTTTAGAGAGAGTAGGAGAATAAGACAAAAAAAGTAACTTCATTTTTTTAAATAAGTAGGTATATCATATAAATATTTACTTATTACATGAGGTCTGTTCTCACAGAAATCATAAACCAGTCGGAGTGTTTTTGATTGGTGCAAATCGACAGAAACCACTTTTCTGATAGTTTACAACCAATGAAATTCGCTCTGATAGGTAGGGGAAAGTGGGTAACATCGTAACATTGAGGCACAGGTAACAGTGAGACATTCAAAATATTAGCTATTTCTTCACTTTTTGAATAGGTGTCGCCCCAATAATACATTATTTGTGTTTTAAGAGGAGTGTCGGTTGTATTTGCAACCATCTTTAATTTTTTAAGTTTCGTCGACAACGCGGAAGGGTACACAAACTTTCCGTTATTTTTTTTTGCCAACGAACTTTTTCGACAAAATTTGAGAAAACGGTGATTTTTTTCGTTTTTTCCATTACGCATGGTCTTTGAGTGGTATAAGGGAACCTTTTTGCTATTGATACCATTTATTAAAACTTAATTAAGATCAAAGGGGGACCAAAAAATGGCGTTTTATTTTTCAAAGTAACTTGGGTATGAATGAGACATGTTTAGATGGGTAACACTGACTATGTTTTAGTAGAATTTACAAGCGAAACATTAAAAGAAAAAAATCTATTACAAAGGAAAATTGTAATCAGAAATAGATAGTGATAACAAATTAACATTTTCAAGAAGTGAGAAAATGGAGGGATTTTTTTTTTTCTCAGATGCTCCAAATATTGCCACTGTTGCTAAAAGAAATATCAAGATGATTTTGCCAAAACCGGTGAATTACGGAAGGACTAAGCTCCTATATTATGTTTTCATGGCTTTGAAACTTTGTCTGGGTCATTTAGAAAAGTTTGTTTCAGTTTATTTGAATAAATATTTCTCATTCGATATAGTGTCTCATTGAACCCCCTGCATGAGTAACAATGAGACAAATGTCATAATAGTTGTTTATGTCAAATATTGTCTTTGTGAGTGACTATAGAATCAAAAATTTTATGAACTACTAGCTTAGATATATTCTTGAGTGAAACTGAAAAAAATAAAATAAATATTTGAAGGTTTATGTTGAAATATTTTCATTAGAAAAAAAAGTGTCTCAGTGTTACCCAGTCTCCCCTACCTATTAGGTGTGTGATGTCTGTGAAAATAGATCTATACTGTAGATAGATATACATATATGTATTTTTTAAATTAACTAAACACAAAAATAATTTCTCAAAACTTATT